CATACTGGTGAATTTGGTATTTTGGGCATGTTTAGATGTTAAGTGGTAGAGTCACGGGCATTTTTGTCAGTGAGTGTATGAGGTTTTCATCCATGAGCACAACAGATAATGATCAGCTTGGGGTGACTGATGTGTCTGTCACCTCAAACATTTATCATTTCTTTCTGCTGTAACAGTCAATCCTCTCTATGCCTATTCTGAGTATTCAATTCATTGTTGTCAACTAGCAGCCACTGTACTGTAGAAAGTGAAAGTCATTCCTCCTGGCCCCTGCTAGCAGCCCCTCCTCCTCACTCTCTCCTTCATCGCTGCCTTTCCCAGCCACTGGCTTTCTGCACCGGTGCTTTGTCTGGACGAACACATGTGCATGCAGTGCCCATGGAGGACAGAAGAGGGCATAAAATCCCTTGGAACTGGAGTTATGTGTGCTTGTGAGATACCATGTGGGTGCTGGGAGCCAAATGCAAGCTCCTTGCAAAGCAGCAAGAGCTCTAAACTGCTGAGCTAGCTCTCCAGCCCAGCCTACATTTCTTTATGGATGAATAATGTTCCATTGATTTTTTTCCTTTTGGTTGGAGCTTTACTTGTTTATATTTTGCTTGGTTTTGTTTTGAGGTTCACTCTTTCTATGATAGCCTTGAGTTTGCAATCCTTCTGCCTTAGCCTCTCAAATCCAGGGACTACACATGTTCACTACGATGGCAGGCTACCACATTTTCTTTATCCATTCACTTGTGGTTGGTTATCTGGGCTGATTCCATGTTCTTGATTACCTTCTGATTTGTCTGAGTCCCTATATATCTGGCATCCAAGTTCTTTGTCAAACTTGTATGTCACTGGTGTCTTCTCCTCTTGCTTGTTCCTTTATTGTCTTAAAGGTGCCATTTTGCAGGGGAGGGGCTGTAGTGATGAGGATGCAAACACTAGACAAGCGACATAGTAGTAAACTACATCTTCAACCACTGGTTGATTGGTTCCTTGACTGATGGAGATGGGGATCTTACTACGTTTCCCAGGCTTGCCTTGAGCTAGTTATGTAGTCCAGACTGGCCTCCTCCTTCAGGCTCAGGAACAGCTGGGATTACAGATGTGGGCCAGCACACCTGCCTCAGCAATGGCTTTTAAAAAGCAAAGACCTGGAAGGATGCTCAGCTGGCAGTGCACTTGCTGCACAAGGACCAGAGTTCAGTCCCAAGAGCCCACATGAAAAACCATGTGTGATGACTCCTGTGTGTATAATCCCAGTACCAGGGAGGCAGAGGCTGCTGATGCTTGGGGCCAGAGGGGCCAGCCAACTCAGAGAGCTCTAGGTCAGGGGGAGCTCCTGTCTCAAAACAACAACACGGATGGTGCCAGAGGAACAATATACAAGGTTGCCATCAGGACTACACACACACACACACACACACACACACGCACACACGCACGCACACACACACGCACGCACGCACGCCCACAAAATAAATAAATAAATAAATGTGATTTAAAAGCCAAAAGCAAGTCCAGTGAGCAGTGTGTTGTCTACACACCTGTTAATTAATAACAGTAATAATAATAATAACAATAATAATGATGAGGTGAGGATGCAGCTCAATGACAGAACACTTGCCTAGTGTGCTCTAGGTTTGATTCCCCAGCTTCATAAAAGATTTATATTAAATTAAGCATAATTACAAAACAGGTATGGTGGCATACACCTGGAATCCCAGCACTACAGGAGATTGAAGTAGCAGGATCAGGGGTTCAAGGCAACCCTCTGGTAACTAGGGAACTCAAGGCCGGCATGACTGACAAAGTTGTCTCAGAACATAAATAAACAAACCCCTCAGTGAAAATACAAATGTTGTCTATTCTAACTGGTGCTGTATCTGACTATATTCTGAGCCGGAGGCCCCACTGTTGAGCTAGGAGAGTATCAAGGATCAGAGGCCTGTACAGAGCTTCGACTTTCTCCTTAACTGAGCCAGAAGGATTAAATGAGAATGGAAAAGATTAGGACCCAAGAGATGCCCTTTGTTTGTTTCTTTCTGCAAAGCAATTCATTGGAACCTAACACTCTGGTTTCTGGGAGGCCTCCAGGTGCTGGAGTGTTCCAGACAGGATGGGCTCATTCTCTTTGTACTTACAAAGAATAATGGATTAGAGGAAAGTGGCATCTGAAACAGTGTGTTGACACTCTGGACAGGCCCACTGAGGGACACTGATAGTCTGTGCATGCTCACCTTATAGCCACAACGGCTCGGGAGGCTGTAGAGAATGAAGACCATCGAGATGGCAAGGTTCCTGGTGCTCTGGTCCCTTCCAGTTATGGGAGGAAGGATGAGGATGCCACCACATCCAGACTGGGTGTGGACACACTTGGACAGTGCAGAAAGGGAAGCCTGGCGTGCTATAGTTGGCTGCTCAGTGGAGAGCTGGGTGTAACCTAGGGAAAAATGCTGCCTTTCCCATCTCCTAGGGAGCTTGAGAGCTTAAGGAAGGAGCCATCCAAGTGAGCAACTGTAACACAGGGTAAAGAGAGTGAACTCTTCTTAACCTTCTAAGAGCTGCAAATGACAGGCCCAATTTGAATCGGTATGCATAATTAAAAAAAAACACCTCTTGGGTCCCACAGCCCACTAACAAATGGCTGAATGGCTTTCAGGCACAGCTGGATCCAGCAGCTGCTCTGACTTACAGGCTTGAGCTCTTCTCTCATCATATTGAGTTAATTCTGTTGTGTGGTGATAAAAACTACCGTGTCAGAAGTCTTAGCTTCCTCTGTTCTAGCCTAACGTGGCAGGATTGAGTTTCTGTGGTGTACATGACAATGGCTACATGACATACATTCCCTAGGGTTAAGCCTAGGAGTGACCAGGGTTCCCTGAACTGTTGGGGAAGGAGGAGGAGATATGGATGGGATCAGCAGGTACCAAATGTCCCACCACCATGTCCCCAGCAGGAAGTGGCTCTCACAGGACAGTGAGTGTCATGCCAGCTCAGAGTCAGGATAGCTTCAATAGAATAGCCTCTGCTGCTGACTGTAGAGGGGGACTCAGCTGGGACAGCAGGAACCCAGGGCTAGGGTGACTGCTGGGGGGAGGGGAGTCCCTGAAGCTCACTCACACCAAGTGTGGTGGCAATTATTAGTATTCTCTGCACAATCCCTGCCTCCTGTGTCCCTGGGAGACAGGTCTAGAGTGATCTAAGAATCCTCCCTGACACACAGCTGCCACGCAATACTCTAAGGCCACCCACCCCATTCCAACATGACCTACGGAGCTGCTGGAGTATTCTTTCCAAATCCAATACCTAATGCCTCCCACACAAGCAGTCAGACGCTGAGCTTGTCCCTCTAGACTCAGTGATTAGCAAAATCAACCGTCTTTCTTGCCCTCCTGGGAATCCCCAACTTATGGGAAAATTGCATAGATATAAAATGGGGGTGACAATCAAATCTCACTATTTGTGTTTTTTGAGACAGGGTTTCATATAGTCAAGCTGGCTTTGAACTCACTATGTAGCTGGAAATGACCTTGGTCCTTCTGCTGGGGTGGTAGATGTGCACCATGCACCCAGGTTGTGTGGTGCTGGGTCTCAGCGCCAGGGCTTCGTGCATGCTAGGCAAGCACTCCGCCAACTGGGCTATGTTTTCTTTCTTTCCCCCATGTTCTGTAGTGTTGGGGATGGGACCTCAAGATCCCATATTCCACGTTGTCCCTCCCTCCCTTCCTCCCTTCCTCCCTTCCTCCCTTCCTCCTTCCCTCCCTTCCTCCCTTCCTCCCTTCCTCCTTCCCTTCCTCCCTCCCTAACCCTCCCTCTGCTCTCCCTCTGCTCTCCCTCTTTCTGACTGTGGAGCCCAGAGCCTCCCACAGGGTAGATAAGTGCTTCCCCATTGCACTAGACCTCACGCCCTTGTTTTTTTACCTGGCAGGGTCTCACTCTGTAGCCCAAGCTGGCCTAGAACTCATGGCAATCCTTCTACCTCAGCTTCCCAAATGATGAGACTGCAAGAAGGCACCACCATGCCTATGCAGACACGTCGTTTTTAACCATCACTCTCTCATGCCTCTAGGAACTCAGGGTGCACAGCCCCAGCCTGTGCTGGTCCCAGGTGGAAGCTCAGCGTTTCTGCCCGGGTTATCTTATCAGCACCAGTCCCACTGCACTGAGTCAGATGCCATCAGCTCGCGCCTCACTTACGGGGGTCGAGCTCTGGACCTTGCACATTTTTCCACCTCCTCAGCAATTCCGTAAATTAGCCGTGACAAGGCTTGGTGTGGAGGTCAGTGACAACACAGCATTTGCTTAGCATGCACAGGCCTCCAAATTCAACTCCTCTGAAGAAAGAGCGAAGGATGGAGGGAGGGAGCGAGGGAAGGAGGGAGGGAGAGAGAGAGAGAGGGAGGGAGGGAGGGAGGGAGGGAGGGAGGGAGGGAGGGAGGGAGGGAGGGAGGGAGGGAGGGAGACCAGAGAGACGGCTCCCAGCAGGTAAGGCACTTGCTACTGAGCCTGATGGTTGTCCACAAGCATGCATTGGCACACTCAAACACACAAATAAAAAATTTAAGAGTTGATTTTTTAGCGAGATGAAAGAATTAGATATGTTAACATGTTATACATGGGAAACCTGAGCTGAGAAATTTAGCGACTGGTCCATTATGCTGGACATTCCCTGGGGGTGGAAACCCTCAGTCACTAGGATAGACATGGTGGTCCGTGCCTGTAATCCCGGAGTGAGCAGACGGCAGAGACAGAGGGATCGAGTTAAGTTCAAGGCTAGCTTGGGCTTGGAGGGGAGGGGGCAAGGCCTGGTCTGATTTGCTCATCACTGAACACACAGACGTTAGTTCAGCTATGCTGCAGTCTCTCAATAAGCACTTTTCTGTTGGATGAATAGATGGCTGGAAGGGTATCAGCAGGTAACAGAAGCAGGAAGGAGAGAGGACTGGTCTATACAAGTGTCTGTCTGCCTGTGGCCTCCTCAGCGGTGTCCTGTCTGATGGCACCACATGTCCCAGCAGGTGCCGCCATGCCAGTGAAGAAGTACCTGCTGCAGTGCCTGCACCGGTTGCAGAAGGGCCCAGGCTACACCTACAAGGAGCTGCTTGTGTGGTACTGCAACAACACCAACACACACGGCCCCAAACGCATCATCTGTGAGGGCCCCAAAAAGAAGGCCATGTGGTTCCTGCTCACTTTGCTCTTCACCTGCCTGGTGTGCTGGCAATGGGGTGTCTTCATCCAGACTTACCTGAGCTGGGAGGTCAGCGTCTCGCTCTCCATGGGCTTCAAGACCATGAACTTCCCGGCGGTCACCGTCTGCAATTCCAGTCCCTTCCAGTAGGTGGTCTTCCTCTTCCTTTTCTTTCCTCCTACTCTCCCATTTCTCCTTTCTCTCCATAGTCCTGTTTTGTTCCTTCTTTTTTTTCTTTTCTTTCCCTTTTTGCTTTCACTTTTTGCAACATATAAGATTTTTCAAAGTCCCAAGCTTCCTCAGCTTAAAGAGAGCCACAATACATCCAGATCTAAGTAACTCTGGAGTGGAACAAAGGTCAACCTCCAGTGTTGTGCCTTGAACATTGTCTATCTTCTTTTGAAAAATAATTTATTTAATATCCGTACATGTACATAATGTATTTGGATAAAATCCATCCCCCCAGTCTCCCTCCCCTCCAATTCCTTCCTTATCCCCCCACCTCTTTCTCCTCCAAACTTCATGTTCTCTCCCTCCTTCCCTCCCTCCCTCCCTCCCTCCCTTCCTCTCTCAAATCCACTGAGTTCACTTAGTGGTGCCTGTATATGCATGGGTGTAGGACCATCTACTGCAGCAGAGACAGCCTCCATAACCCCAGCATTCAGAGGCTGAGGCAGGATGATGAATTCCAGGCCAGCTTGGACTGTACAGCCAGAACCTGTCTCAAAAACAAGGCCACGTATACTATATAAAGGGCACTTCCTGCTCTCACAATGCTGCATCTGTAGTTGCATTTGTGTTTATTGAGCGTCCACTGTGTGCCATTGTTCCACACGCAGGAAATTTTAGCAACAAACAGAGCCAAGTCCCCCTCCTCTGCAGAACCTGTCAGAGGAAACAACCATTAGTATTCTTTCCGTGTTGGTGTTGGAGAAATGGCTCCAGCTACTCTTCCAGAAGACCCAGATTCAAATCGAAGCACCCACATGGCAGTTCACAATGGCCTGTGACTCCAGCTCCAGGGATCCAATGCCTCTTCTGGCCTCTTCCGGCACCAGTCATGTACATGGTGCACAGACATACATAGAGATAAAATGCCCATAAACACAAAGTAATTAAAAAAGAAAAAAAAAGATACCCTGGAGGCTGCAGAGACAGCTCAGGAGTTTAAAGCACTTGTTGCTTTTCCAGAGAACCCAGGTTCAGATCCCAGCACCCACATGCAGCTCACAACTATCTATAACTCCAGTTCCAGAAGCTACAAACCCCCCCTTCTGACTTCACGGGCACTAGCAAGTGTGCAGGGTACATACATACATGCAGGAAAAATAATTTGGACCCAGGCCTGGTCTAGCACCAGAACACCTACTTTTTAACCATTCTGCCATGCTGTCTCTTACACAACGGGAAGGCTTCAAGGTGTGACTACAAATAGACCCCCATCTAATCAGGACTGTGGGAGCAGGTAGGTGACCAGTCAGCAAAAATTGTCTGAAGGCATGAGTAGAAGTCAGCCAGGACGGATGCAGGCTCACCTTGTAGACACAGCGTGTGCAAAGGCCCAGCAGGTAAAACAACCTGGCAAATCCAAGAATGGAGTGACAGAGGACATTCTTGTCCAAAGGAAAAGTCTAGAAGGGAGTTCACACTTTGTGGTCACCTTCCCAATCCTCAAAAGTTCCTTTGGCTTTTAAGTTTGTGTGCATCCATTCTTGTGTGTGGAGATCAGGGGTCAACCTTGGGGTCATTTCTCAGGGAGCAGCACACATTGTGTTTTAAGACAGGGTTTCTCAGTGGGAATGGACCCCCTGGCTGGCCAGCAAACTCCAGGGAATCTGTCTGTCTTCCTGTCCCCAGCACTGTGTCTAAATGCAGTCCACTGTGCCCATCTGTCTACATAGGTGCTAGGATCTAACTCAGCACTTTAACCACTGAGTCATTGTCCCAGGCCCTAGAAGGCCCATCTTTTTAATAGGCTTTTCCTCTGTTGAGGAGCCCTTGGGACACCTTACGAAAAACCCTGGCACTAACCACCTGGCCCTAGTAGCACAACCTGCAGTCCCTGCATCGAGGAAGCTGAGGCAGGAAGATCTTGAGGTCAAGGCAAGTATGGACTACAAGTGAGACCTTATCTAAAAAACAGCAGAGGCTGGAGAGATGGCTCAATGATTAAGAAAGCTTGTGGTGGACCCAAGTTCTGTTCCCAGCACCCACAGTGGGTACTCACAACTGAGTATAATTCCAGCCCCAGGGAATCCAATGCCCTCTTCTGGCCTCCATGAACACACCCTGCATGTGGTACACACATGGGGGGGGGGAGGGATTACTAGAACAATAATATTAGTAGTCACAGCAGCTCTCTCTAAGGGACACTTTCTTACCCCTTCCTCTATTTTCTAATGAGAAAACTGAGCTCAGTGGGCTAAGCTGTCCAAGATCATACAGATTTTAAGTGATATGGCTGGATTTGAACCCAGAACCCACACAGACACTTGCTATGAGAGGCCGTTGTGGACATCTGCCCTGGGATAACACCACTGCCCAGGAGACCACCAGCCTCCCCTCACATCCTCCCTCTGTGTGTACCTGAGCGGCTTGGTGTTGTGGACAGAGTGAGGCTAGCCCTGGCTGTTCTTTAGCTCATCCTGGGTTTAATTCTGTCCCATCGGGCCCTGATGTATGTATACAATGGGCATGGGTGACCAAGTCGCGCACTCTGTCCTATGGGGCCATCCCTTCCACGGGGCCTGGTCACACTTCCAACATGGAGCCCCTGGGGAGGAGAGAAACAGAAGCCACCCTCACTATCCCAACACCTCTCCACCCTGTAATTGGTCCTGCTCCTCAGGTCACAGACCTGTCCCCGCTCTCCACCCTCTACCTCTACTGAGAAGGGGGTCCTAGGGGAACCCCTGAGCACAACCCCCTCCTGCTGCTGGAACCCACCAAATCTGAATTCCAAATTCAGCCCTGCCCCTTATTCCTGGGGCCATCCAAGAAATCAAACTGGCTTCCAAGAGTCATTCCCTGTCTGCAGGTGGGGATGATGAAAAATTGTGACAAAGAGCAAAAGAAAAGAAAGAGCCCCTCGCATCTGACTCAACAGCCAGTTCCTCGATACAAGGGGAATTTCACGGCTGTCCCTGCCACCATCACCTGGCACATAGACGTTGAATGTGTATTTGGTGAATTAATGAGCTGAATGGACAACGGGGAGACATGGGCACGCAGTGGGAGAGAGGTGGTGTCTGAGTTGAACCCAGCACACCATCACTCATGCTGGCCAGCTCTCTAATGCTATGATACATCTCTAGCCCTTTAAGAAATAAACAATGAGGCAGGATCTTACTACATTGCCCGTACAGGGCTTGAATTTATGCTCCTCCTGCCTCAGCCTCCAGAATAACTGGGATCACTGGCTCTGCTTTTGGTGGCAAGTTCTTACATGCTGGGGTGCAAGAAGACCCTAGGCTCTGCATGCTCTTTCTTTGGTGACCCCTTGCCCACCTGACCCAAACTCTCTCCACTTAGGTACTCCAAGGTCAAGCACTTGCTGAAGGACCTGGATGAGCTGATGGAGGCTGTGCTGGACAAAATTCTGGCTCCGGAGCTCGGTCACACCAACACCACCAGTACCCTGAACTTTACCATCTGGAACCACACGCCTCTGGTCCTTATTGATGAACGGAACCCTGACCACCCAGTGATCCTCGAGTTGTTCGGGGACAGCCACAATAGCAGCAGTCCAGCCCCAGGAAGCACCTGCAACGCCCAGGGGTGCAAGGTGGCCATGAGGCTGGTGAGTTCCCCAAGCACAGACCATGGCCATCCAGAGACGCTGGTGACAATCTATCTTCATTAGTAACCTAAGATTTGCGGAGAGGACCCAGTGCCTGTTTTGTACATCTGCAAAGGGTAGACGGTGTGTGCAGGTGTATTTTCATGTGTACCTGTCAGGGGTAGGTCAGGGGACAACTTCAGATCTCATTTCTCCTTAGGCAAGGCTGACTGACCAACAAGCCTGAGCAATCTGCCTGTCTCCACCTCCAGGGTTCTGAGATTACAAACACATACTATTTCACCATATTTTTAATTTTTTCTGTTTATTTTATTTGTCTATGCACCATGTGTTTGCCTGGTGCCTGTGGATGTCTGAAGAGGGTATTGGAGCCCCTGGAACTGGAGGTATAGATAGATGGTTGTGAGCTGCCAACTAGGTGCTGGGAATCAAACCTGAGTCCTCTGGAAGAGCAGCCAGTGCTCTTAACCGCTGAGCCAGCTCTCCAGTCCTCCCCTTGGTTTCTTATGTGAGTTCCGAGGATCCAACTAAGGTCCTCCTACTAGTGCTACAAGCACTTTACCAGCTGGATGTTTCCCTGAGCCCCGCAAGCACTTCTTAAAAAGTAGAAATGGCTGGTGTGTTGGTCGACACCCTTGGATGAGAATGACCCAGTTCAAACTAGTTTATGCAAAGCAAAAAGCCATTGGCATGTGTAACAAAGATGTCCAGAGTGCATCTGTGTTCAGGCATGCGTGGATCCAGGCACACGGGTGCTTTCATGAGGACTCATCACCCTCCGTCTTAGCTCAGGCCTTCCTTCCTCCCCCCCTCCCCCCCCCACCCCCGCTGAATCTCAGCAACCTCTCTCCACAGTTCCTTTCTCAGCAGAGCCAGTTAAACTCCCACTAACTCCCCCTTGTCACAGCTCACCCTTAAAATAATCCCAATGGGCTACAGAACAGCCTCCAGTGATTGTCCGGTCCTGGGTCACAGGCTTTGGACCTGGCAATGCTGTCACTTCCACAAGGACTTGAGCAGGGAGGATGCAGTCAGAGGCCAAGAAACCATTGCCCACACTGAGGCTGAGGTGCTGCTGGCTCACATAGCTCCAGTGGGAGAAAGCCTCATCAGTGGTCTCCCAGAGCTCCGTCACAAGCCAGACCATGATCCAGGCATCATACCTAGAGAGCCCAAGGGTGCTAGGAGCTCAGGGCCCAGAGGCCTGCATTGTCAGCAGCTTCCCTGTCAGTCACAAGGATCAGGTGCGAAGCCTCCAGAGGGGCAACTGTCTGTCTTGCACTGGCACATGGTCACAGCCTCCAATGCCCCCACTCAAACCAGCAGATGCCTGGAGTGGATGCCACACTTAGGGTGTAGTCACAGGTTACCTATCTGAAAATTCAGTCCAAGCCTGTGTGTCCACTAACTCTGAGGGTGAGTCCTGTATTCATGTGTGTCCCTGTGTGTCTGTGAGTGTGTCGTCTCTGTGTGTGACCATGTGTGTTTGTGTGTCATGTGTGTGTACTCATATGTGTTCGAGTGTGTCTGTGTATATGTATATGTACCCATGTGTGTTTGTGTGTCTGTTTTCCAAGTGTGTTTGTGTATCTGAATGTGTGTGCTTGTGTGTGTTTGTGTGCCCATATGTGTTTATATCCATGTGTTTAGGTATGTATGTGTGTCTGAGTGTGCGTCTTCTGTGTGTCTTTGTATGCCTCTGTATGTGTAACATGTCTGTATGTGTGTCGGAGAGGAACTATGTAGCTGTACATGTATGTGTCCTGTGTTCATACCTAAGAGTACCAGTGGGGGCGCTGTGTATGACCAGCCTGGAGTGGCTTGGGGTGGTGACCCCTGAATATGCTTGAGTTAGGATTCTAACACATTTCCCACCACCAAGGTGAAGCCATGGGGCAGCTGATACGGTGCTGCCCTTCCCTCCTGGGTTCCTCAGAGCAGTGGCCTTTGTGTCTTCAGAAACCCTCTTCCCTTCCACAGTGCAGCGCCAATGGGACTATGTGTACCTTCCGGAACTTCACCAGTGCCACCCAGGCTGTGACTGAGTGGTATATTCTGCAGGCCACCAACATCTTCTCTCAAGTACTTCCAGAGGACCTGGTGGGGATGGGCTATGCCCCTGATCGAATAATCCTAGCCTGCCTGTTTGGGACAGAACCCTGCAGCCATCGGTGAGAGCAACTCCTGTCCCCTGCTCTGACAGACAGAATGAGTTAGGAGCCTGGCCTGCTAGGGTTCAGACCCACCCAGCTCTAGAGTGACTGTCTACAGCATACAGGCTGATCTGTGCCTCTGTGTCTTGTTGGGGCTCGCTGGAGGCGTGTCTGAGACATGCTCACAACACTGGAGGGAATCACTTCGGGAAAAGTCAGCAAGGAAAGGAGATAAGGAAGGAAGATAAGAATGAGAAAGGATGTGATGACTGTGGGTGAAGCCTGGGTGTGGCCTGATTCATGGGAAGATCTGTTGTGGTGCATGGATAAAGACACAGAGCTGCCCTCCCTCGATAGAGGAGCCAGGGCTTTTATAATGTCCCCATCAGCCAGACTTGAGAGTTGGCCACCCCAGGCACAGGGGCAGCCTTGGGTCATTAGTCTGCAACTCCCAACCCCTGATGGCATATCTGGGTGGGTACACGCATTGTCTGTTTTGTTGTTGTTGTTGTTGTTGTTGTTGTTTCTCTAAACCAGGACAATCATTGTACCCACCTCCTCCAGCTACTGTGAAGGGCATTTAGTTAGGTCCGCACTGGAACACAGAGCAAGGCTTATGAGGGCTCAAGATCCCCTCTTCCCTATAAAGCCTCTTTGTGGTGAGTGACAGAGTGGGGACAGAATGTCAGGGAGTGGCAGCGACCCATAAAGTCCGGGCTATCTTCCAGCTTGTCCACAGATTCCCGTCTCCTTCATCTGGACACGGAGACTGTGCCCTCTCCTAGTCTGAACTCTCACACTTCAGTTCTCAATTCTGCTGCTACACAGGGGCTCCTTCCTAAATCTCATGCTTGGGCATGTGACATCCTTCCAGGTTCATCTTCCAGGAACTGCGGCCTCACCCTAAACCTTTCATGAGCCCAGTGAAGAGTCGGCTGAGAGCTACAGAGTCTCTGCCCTCCTCTATGCACAGGTGTTCTGGGCAGGCATTTTGCACACAGTATCAAGGAGTTTTTAATCAAACCCTCAGGAGACACAGACAGGAGGACCAAGAATTCCTTGGCTACACACACACACACACACACACACACACACACACACCATGCAATATAGTACCAATATCCCATAACGCAAATCAGAAAAATGGCAGTTCCCATGGGTGTAATAACCACAAGATGGTACTCCATTGATAGAACAAGCCTGCCTTGAGGTGGGTTGGATTTCATATATATATATTTTTTTTTATTTTACATACCAATCCTAGCACCCCCTCCCTTCCTCCACCTCACCCTCATCCACTCATCAGAGAGGGTGGGGCCTCTCATGGGAAGTCAACAAAGTCTGTCACATCACTTTGAGGCAGGACCAAGGCCCTTCCCCCCCCGTATCTGGGCCGCCGTATCTGGGCCGAACAAGGTATCTTTCCGTAGGGAATGGGTTCCAAAATGCCAGTTCATGCACTAGGGATAAATTCTGGTCCCACTGCCAGTGGCCCCATAAACTGCCCAAGCACCGCAACTGTCACCCACATTCAGAGGGCCTAGCTGGTCCTATGCAGGTTCCCCATCTGTCAGTCCAGAGTCAGTGAGCTCAGGTCAACTGTTTCTGTGGGTTTCCCCATCATGATCTTGACCCCTTTGCTCATATTATCACTCCTGCCTCCTTCAACTGGACTCCAGGAGCTCTGCCCAGTGGTTAATTGTGGATCTCTGCATCTGCTTCCATCTGTTACTGGATGAAGGCTCTATGATGACAATCTCATTACAGGGGAAGGCCAGTTGAAGCACCCTCTCCACTATTGCTTAGAGTCTTAGCTGGGGTCATCCTTGTGGATTCCTGGGAATTTCCCTAGTGCCAAGTTTCTTCCTAATCCCATAATGACTCTCTCTATCAAGATATCTCTTTCCTTGCTCTCCATCTCTGTCCTTCCCCCAAATGGCCATCCCATTCCCTCATGTTCTCCTCCCCCCCTCCCCTCACCCTCCTCCCTCCTCTCTCACCCTCCACCTCACCCCACATTCTGGATTTACTAAGGCGATCTAGTCTTTTTTCCCCTTCCCAGGTGGATCCATGTATGTCTCTCTTGGGGTCCTCTTTGTTACTTAGGTTCTCAGGGGCTGTGGATTGCAGGCTGGTTATTCTTTGCTTTATGTCTAATATCCACTTTTGAGTGAGTACATATTATATTTGTCTTTCTAGGTCAGGGTTACCTCACTCAGGATAGTTATTTCTAGTTCCATCCATTTGCTGAGGCAGGTTGGATTTCAACTTGTTATTCCTATTACTAAACCCATATTTGATAAGGAATTCAGTCATGATACAATGTTTACTGGACCTTCTTATATACTCTATTTTGAGCACTTCCTATATACGAAACTATAATTCACCCTGGCAACATTCCCATGAAGGGTACTATCTTTTTCCCCACTTCCCCCAGAGAGATTAAGTCACACTATGGCTGAGTGGCAGAGCCAGGGGCCTCTATTATTCATAGAAGATGGACTCAAACAGCCAAGCACGGTGGCAGATGCCTGTGGTCCCAGCAGTTGAGACAGGTGGAGCAGGAGCTCAAGGTTGTGCTGTGTGAGACCCTGGAGAGAAAGAGAGAAATGGGGTGGGGATGGGAGGACAGGGGAGGGGAAAGGGAAAGAATAGGAAAGAAAGAAAACAAAGGTGTCTGACATCACCTCCCTACTCACTTCTTTCGAATCTCCCAAGCCAAGCCTCTGAGCAAAAGGAGCCACCCAGCCACCTTGTCACGAAACCATAGCCAGCCAGCATCTGGGCTTACTCCACAGCTATTGAGCACAACTTCCTGAGAAGAGACTGATGGGACTGTGCCCTTGCCTTCCTCCATCCTGGGCTCCCGACACTCCTAGCCCTTACTCTCTGGTCCTGTCCCCTCTCTTGGCCATATGAATGTTCCTTAAAGGAGAGATTCAGTGTTGGGAACATCCTCAGAGCTGTGCAGAGTCAAAGCTGCCTAGACTTGAGCACCCTCAGTCCCCCACACACTTGGCTTCTCTGTCTCTGTCTCTGTCTCTTTCTCTCTCTCTGTCTCTCTCTGTCTCTCTCTCTCTCTCTCTCTCTGTGTGTGTGTGTATGTGTTCCTATCTCTTACTAATTCATATCCAATTGCCAGTCAGACAAAACTTGACATTGTAATGTCTAAGTGGCTACCTGTGAAAGTGCCACAGTCATCTTGACCAAGGTGACTGATTTTGCCATTGTCACTGTAGTGTTTCAGGACAGTCAGTTTAACCTTGCTTCTCTTAAGTTTGTGCTTCAGAGAAATATAAGATACCCTTCCTTTTCTTAACCCCACCTCTAGGTCTCAGCACAAGCTGAAGAGTGGACTCCTTTGGAATGCTGTAATCAGACAAAATACAGACATCATCTATTCCTTCTCCCGAATCCTGGCCTTAGCATTCATTTTAGTGCCTGAGGACTTAGCTTCCAGTGCCATTGTCTTTCCTGTAAGGGTCTGCCATGATCTTGCATGGCTTCAAGGGCTGACCTAACTGGTGAAGTGAGGGAATGAAGAAATAGCAGACACAGAAAAGCTGTTATTGTTTGGTGTGGGCTCTCAGAAGAAAAAGTCACAGCACCCTGGAAGCTTGGCATCTTCAGCATGTACAGTTGAGCAGGGAGGTGGGGTTATCACATACAATTGAACAAGGAGGCCTGGTTTATGACATACAGCTGAATCAAGGAGATGGGTTTAGATGATTTTGGTTGGAGCAATCTCTGTTGGGGAGAAGTCTTCAAGTCTGCTCTTCAGGAAGAGAAAACTATGGTGGACATTTTCTGCATGCTGTTAGTATTTGCACTCTGACCTGAGGAAGGCTTTTCATCCTTCTGGGCCTCACCTAGGGAAGGCTTTGCCACTCCCATGGGTCTGAGTCACTATGGTACTTGACATGGCCATGCCCATGTCAACAACACACATTGAGTCAAGATTTCACTCACTCTCTACAAGGGTCTTTACAAAAAATATCTGCATCTAGGCAATGATTCCACCACAAACGGAGGATCCAAAAGTTGCTTAGATTCTCTACGCCTCTGTTTCCTTTTCTAAAAAATGGGGTCAGTGAAATGACCTCATAGAGTTCCTGTAAGGACTGAATGAGTTGGCTTAGGTAAAAATGCTAAGAGCTGTGCCCCGTTCCCAGGATGTGTTCTCATCACATTTAAAAATTTAAGCTGATTATGGAATTCTGTCATATGAGTTCAGAAGTGGCACAAGGGACAGAGGAGATGGCTCAGAGGATAACATCACATCCTATGCAAGCAAGAGTTTGAAACCCCTGGAACCCATGTAAAAAGCTGCACGTTCCTGTAGCCCCAGCACTAAGAACAAAGACAGGAAGATTACTGGAGCTTGCTAGCTGACAGCCTTACTCCAGATTTAGTGAAAGACTGTATCCAGGGAATAACATAGAGAGTGATAGAGAAACACACCCAACATCTTCCTCTGCCCTCTTCTTGTGAGCAAGAGTACACAAGCACACACACACACACATACACACACCATACACACAACACACATACACACCACACATATAAACCACATGCACACAAACCACACATATGCACATGTGCACACATACAACACACACATACACATATGCATACATACATACATAATACAGATACCCAGCACCACAAAAGCAAACAGTAAAGAATGCAAACCTGCATCTCTAGGAAGGAAACAACATGCTTTGTTCTGATTTCATCCATTTTCCCATGTGATATTTTCCTGTCAAGGACTCTACCCAGGAGGACAGGTGGCATTGAACATGGAGCCTCTTTGGTAGGACCATTTCTCAGACTCCTTTGTTGGCGATGACCTTGAATGCTTCAGAGCACTGGTTGGATGTCTCATGGGAAGCCCTTGATATGGGCAGACATGTTTGATCTTAGCAAGGGTGATGGGCTCAAAGAAGCCTGCCCTGGAGGTCACCTGACACCTGTAAGGAGTCACAGCTGATGAGACATGGTGGCAAGTTTATAGCACA